ACCCTATTGGGTATGGAAAGACTTTGCAAAATATCTAGGCCCAGTGATAACAAAGATATTTAACATGTCATTGGAACAGCAACGCGTTCCCCTCCTATGGAAATTAGCCAATCTTAATCCAATACCTAAGGAAAGCCCCCTTATAGAATGTACACAATTAAGGCCTATATCTCTTACGAATGTAATAATGAGATTGTTCGAAAGAATAGTGTTTAAAAAAGAGATCTCATCAGAACTAAAACAATTAATAAAATCTGACCAATTCGCATATAAGGAAGGTACCAGCGCAACTGATGCTCTTATTATGTGTCACCATAAATGGCTAAATTGGCTGGATGGTGATGTTGATCATGTCAGGGTGATTTCATTCGATCTGAAGAAAGCCTTTGATTCCGTTTCTCACAACATCATTTGCAAGAAGCTAGGAAAAACCAACATTAATCCATATGTAATAAATTGGATTAGAAATTTTTTGACTGATAGGAGACAAAGAGTAATAGTAAACGGAATAGAAACAAATTATGTAGACATAAACAAAGGAGTACCGCAAGGCACAGTTCTTGAACCATTTCTATTTTCCTTAATGATAAATGATCTAACAGTCAAAGATCCAAATAACAACATACTAGTCAAATTTGCAGATGATATGACTGTTAGCGCTCCAGTGAAAAATAATTATGACTCCGCACTAGCTGAGGTAGACAATATTGAAAAATGGACGGAAACAAACAGAATGTCATTAAATCTAGATAAAACATGGGAAATGGTTGTAAGTGGCAAATCAACAAATCCTTTACCAGAACCAATAACGGGTATCGAACGCAAGACTTAGCTGAAACTATTGGGAACCACACTGCAGAATGATCCAAATTGTTGGGACCTTCAAGTTAATAATTTGATATCTAAAGCTAGTAGTCGAATGCACATCTTGAGAATATGCAGATCGTATGGCTACTCTAAAAAAAATTTAACAATTCTCTTCGACGCACTTATTATGTCTTTATTTTCTTATGGAATCGAAGTATGGGGGTCTGCACTTGAAAAGAAGTACCTGGAACGGATTGATAAATTTCTTAGGCGAGCATACAGATATGGATACACAACAAAAAGTGTTCAGATAATTGATGTGATTAAAGAAAGAGACATGAGTTTATTTGAAAAAATATGTAGCAACCCAGACCACCCTTTATACGAACTACTTTCTCCTAAAAGACAAAGACCGTTAAGAGAACGCGAACACGATTTCATATTACCTAAGGTTAAAACAGAAAGATTCAAACGGTCGTTTTTAAATAGGTGTCTTTTTAATAATTTTAGCTAAAATAATTAACTTAGATACATAATAATAACTTAGTCTTAGTCTTTTTAAGAATTCTACCTAAGAATAATTAACTTAGATACATAATAATAATTAAGTTGTTTTTTTTTTTTTGGAACCTTGTATATGAGAATTTTAAATGTAAAGTCACACGTCTGTTGTGGCTATGTTTAATAAAGACTTAATAATAATAATAATAATACAACCACTTTATTACGTAATACTCTGTCTATTGCTAGACAATTTTACTCATCAAGGCAAGGGGAGAGTGCTGCCAGTCATTGGGTTAAGTTACTTGAAATATAATCAACTTCAAACTCAGTCTGCCAGATATATTAATCATGCAACTTCAATATATCAGATATATATTAATCGCCCCTTTAGGAAAGACATATGAACTGGCCCTCTATTATGGTTTAATCCATTGTCTGCATTTTATACCAAGTCTGCAACTTATACCTTTTCTAATGATTAACACATCAAGATGAAAAAATATACAAAAATGATGCCATGATAGTGTTTATGATCATGATATTTAGCAACTAATGTAGATAAATTATAACACTTAGCAATCGATATTGAGCCGGACAACTCAATACACAAAGTAATGTGTACATGCTTGTGTATTCCATATGCATTGTTGAACATTTCATAGCATTGAACAAAAAGCAGGCGGCAACAGTGGCGTAGCCAGACCTTCATTTTTTTGTTTGGGGGGAGGGCGAAACGACCCACTAGGGGGTGGCATGCACCCCCGGGAACATTATGAAATCTAGAGTCCATGAAATGCGATTTCAAGCATTTTGGGGGTGAAATCTTGCAGCATTCCGAAGATTATACTCAGGTACATCAAAGACATAACATTTCTCCTCGGAATTTCAATATATCGGAAAAGTCACCTTGAAAAATAGGAGGAGTCAGTGTCACTTTACAGTCCCCTCTGTGATGCTGGGGAGGGGGGAGAAAATCCCAATATGATTTCACCATTTACGCATTCTCAAAATTGCGTTGCTTTTTATACGATATGTACAGAATAAGTCAAGTAAAATATTCATGCTATCATAATGCATACATGTATTTAACAGTTAAAAATCTAAACTAAATCCATTCTTCCCATATCTACAATTATTTTAACGAGATTTTACAAATCAAGTTCTTCAAGTAAATCATCTACGGATTTAGCCTTTTTGAGAGAATGGATTTTTTTGAGAGAGTGGATGATTGGCCCCTCTCCCCCCCCCCCCC